CAAATTGGTATTAACTGATCAACACATAAGTGCACATATAAGAATAACATCTATTGGATGTCGGGCAGGGGAGGGGGGGAGAGGGAAGGAGGGGATGGGTATATGCATACACAAAGAGTGCAATGCGCACCATCTGAGGGATGGACAGACTTGAAACTCGGACTTGGGAGAGGGAGGGGGCGGCAAGGGCAACATACGTAACCTAAACATCTGTACCCCCATAATATGCTGAAATAAAAACACAAACAAACAAACAAACAAACAAAAACATGTGCATTTGAAAGAATGAAGATGTAACCTTTACAATAAAAATAAAACAATAAATGTCAAAGATATTAACTATCAAACAGTACTCAAGGAAATCGGATATTTCATACTTAATAACCTAAATATCATTGCCTTGACCAGAGCTGGGACCAAATGGTGTAAGTTCCCAGTTCTTCAGGGATAATACTTTAGTGGAAAGAGTTAAAGAGGACGGCTCGCTGGAAGAACAAGAAAATTGGTGGGAGGAGAACTCTTTTGCCAACATAAGCAAAATCTATATTCATTTGTAAAACATCTCAGACCCTCTTCTACACAAGAGACTCGTTCTCCCTTGAATCTGAAGTTCCTAAGCTCAGCATGGGCACCAGACATCCCACTTTTATTTACTTTTCACTTGGAAAGGACAGGTCGAGACAAGCCAAACCAGAAAGGAAAACTAAATATGAATAGCTGGAGCCTCAACTGCAAATATTTCAAATTGCTAATGAAGTCTAGATTCATATGCTTTAAAAACCAGCTTGAAGGAAGACAGAGTTAATGTTCTGTAATGAAAATCGAACTCCCCTTGGCCTACGTGCCAGCTAGGCCAGGCAAGATCTTGCTCAGACAACAGCCCTCGCCCTCAGTCTGACAGGCTTTATGCAGTGATTCTCAAACTTGGCTACACTTAGAATCACCTGGGAGCTTCTAAAAGTGAGACCCATGGGAGGTGTTGCAGAATGACCAATCAGAACTGCTTGGGTGGGATGTAGTGTCACTGTCTGTAAAAGTCCCCAAGAGGCTCCATCGTGCAGCCAAGATTAAGCCAGGGCCAGAGCGTGGCCTTCGTGAGTTCCAGGCCCAACTGCCCTGAATTCACACAGATGCTGACTGTGAGAGGAGTCAGAACTGTGCCCACCTTCCTACTCAGTGGCTCATCGCTGGCTGCCCAGGTACGGCTGGGAAACACCATCCAAATACGCCGATGCTTGGGCTCACCCCAGACCTACTACATCAGAATCTCTGGGACTTGGGGTAGGCTCTGCTCTTCATGGATAGGACTGGGGGTTGGGCTGATGGGTCTTCAGCAACCTTTCCATTTTCAAATTATAGGATCTCATACAAGGGTTTGATCAAAATGAGGTGATAACAGTAATGGAGAAAGGAGAATGTGAATGATAAAGAAACCCACCTACATCCAATCATATCTGATTATTTTAAACGCCGGGTACCCGCAACTGTCAGATATGTAGGATAACAGAGAGAAACATGGGACGAGCTTGGGGCATCTTGTGGACTATGAACAATGCTTAGTCACAGGACATTTTCTGACCTTGTTGCAAGGTCATGAATTCGGCACATGGCAGATTGATTGGGGCACTGGAGCCTTCATTTGACTACAGGCATCGACCTATATCCTCAGTTAATGTTCCTCTTGACCTTCAGGAACAATGAGAGTGAGCTGTGCCTCATCTACCCTGAGCTGCTGTGGAAATGCCTCTTATCCGCGACCAGGATGGTGCTGGCAAAGACAAAGGTTGAGCAGCTGAA